ACAAATGGAGAAACAGTACATTAAATCTTTTTTCTATTAAACCATGAGGCACCCAAATATCAGTGATTCATGTATCTATGATTTGATACAGCAATTGTGGCACAAGCCTGAAAAAAAAGTGGGAGATTGGATTCATGACCCATTCATTCATTACAATATACTCATCCACCATAATTTATCTGCCAACATTTGCTCTTTCATACACCAAAATTCCTCACACACACACACACAGGGCACCTACTAGGTAAAAACCACCCCATGAGTTAAAAATTTCGATATGTACAACATATATATAAAAACTATAACAATGAAATGGGGGGGTGAGATGACCCCAAAAACTGAAAAAGGAAAGATGTTAGTAGGACCCATCCACTCACAAAAATAAGAGTGACCACTGTATTCTGTCTTCCAATGAAATCAAAAGGATCTGTCACTAAGGGAGGAAAAAGATAGAAAATATGGACATTAAAAAAAAAAAAATCAAAAACTGAACAAGTTGGGATAAAAAGGCAGGCCAAAACAAACTGGGGAGGTAAGGAACCTCGACTTGGATTATAACCAAAGAGAAAGCCAGGAATGACACTTGCTCACATTAACTAGGTACACTTAGAAGAACCTATCTTAACCAGGGGAGGGCTCTTCAGGAAGTTACCCCATTGTGACTTACGATAGACTTAAAAAAGAAAATTAAGGCTAGCTACATTCATGCGAACCTGATTTGCCACAGTTACCCACCTTTCTGTGAAATATGTTGATACCAACTGCTTTCAATCAGTTCTAATCTTCATCCTGGGCTGATGCTACCAGAATCTGATGAGAATAATGATCGCATTGCAAGGTTTCCTCCATTTGCATTGTTCAAAATCACCATTCAAGCTGTGGCCAGCAGTATCAGAAACACCATCAGTTCACCCCAGAATACGGGTATGACATATTGTTACGCATATGCATGATCAGTGAGCACAAGCTTTTTGGGAGTGATACAAGTTGTCAACTCACTGACAGTCCCAAAAGGAGCAGATGTGAGGACTATGTTAGAAGGCATACAAAGCCATTTCCTCTAAGCCCGGATCACACTGCTGACAGGCAAATCAAGCCCCATTTGAAAGCTACATCATTGAGAGGTAGTTGATTTTGAACTAATCACCAGGTAAGCAAAAACTCAGGGTTACTGAGATAACCACTGCTGGTGCCCAAGACTAGAAAGAGCACAACTCAGTTGCCAACAAACCAAACTGGTTGCAGAGCTGATGCTTCACAACCCTGTCCATTAATTCCTGATACAAGGCTCTCCTTGGTCAAGAAAAGTCACTGGACCAAGGAATGACCCTCAAGGACAATTGACACTCGAGGAGGAAATCTGACTGATCCTGGGGCTAATGATGGCATTCAGCTACAGAAACAGGAAGACTAATGGTGAGGTGAAGGAATGCGGCCATCATACTCCCATTCAAGATTGAATCCTCTGTCAATGCGCAGCATAGGAAAGCCAGCCTTGAGGAGTGTTGGTGACTTGCTAAGTGTGGCATTCCCAGCCCCCACCATGACATGGACATTGGGTACAGATTTCTCTGTTGACATGATGCATATGTCTACCCCACAAGAGGGAGGAGAGAAAGCACTTGATCATCTTCTTACATCCCTTACAGAGAGGAAGTACAACTAGCCAGTAAAGGATGAGAGGAAAGACGTAAGTGGCACATGCCTCAGTCCTCTCCTTCAAGGACAACCACCTCTGGTGCCAAATCTGGACAGACCAATTTTTCTCCAGTTGATGTTCAGGCCATACCACACTTTGAGCATGTGGACTGGCTTGTCTGTCCAACCAAAGGACCTCAGAAGATCAACCCCTTTTCAGGCACCTAACTGCAAACCAGAAAACTTGTGATTAATTTTGGCCTGTCACCCTTTTGTACTGTTCAAGCACCTTCAGCACCACTGTGGGACAACATGAAAGTGGACATGTCATCAGTGTATGCAGAAACCCTGGCTCAAGACCCATCAGGGACAGAAATTCCACATAGAGTCGGACTCCATGCTCTGTCCCTCAGTTGGCAAAGAAGGGGCTCCAATGCCAAAGCATAAAGTAGGAGTGGCAGTGGGCAACCCTAACGAAGTGATACAGACAGTGCAAAAGTGTGCGACCGCTTTATGTTCAGCTGCACCACAGCACTGGGGACTGATACAGGAGGCTAATCCACTGGTAGAAGTCTGGTTCAAATCTGGTAGCCTGCAGGACAGCAGCCAGGTACTGATGGTCAATGCTATCAAATGCCTTGGACTGATCTAAATTGATCGGAACGGCTTGCTCATTGTCTTTTACACCCTCTAAGATCATGCATATCAGATGCAGGTTGCTCTGAAAAGTCTGCTCAGGTCCCAGCAGAATCTTGACCATAATCTTAAACTCTGTTTAGCAGAGTTATGGGCCTGTAGTCATTTAAATCTCACCCAACACCCTTGTCCTTTCTCTGCAGCATGATCACACCACTGAAGATCTGGTCGGTGATGAACTCCTGGTGGAACATGGCAGTCAAAATCGGAACAAAGATGTGTGACAGCCTCCATGATCTCACCCTTGCAGTCAGCCACTTCATTTGTCGAAAGCCAAGGAAAGTCAGCCAAATAGCTGCAAAACCTTTTGTCACAGAGACTAGGCATCCTGGTAAACCGGCTCTTGAAATGCCGCTGAAACGCAATGCACATGCCATCAGCTGACCCCAGAGTACACCCCTCTGGGATATTGACCTCCCAAATGTAATGATTGGAACCTTGACAAATCTCTCCTTTGCACAGTTCTGTGTCCATGTTCATGGCTTCACCAGACAACTTATGTCTATCTGACCCTGGTAGCTAGATCTACTTTTAGGGGATCTCTCCTAGTCACTGCCCGTGAAAGACTATGCTTAAGTGCCTTCACCTTGTTAGCGTTATCTAGTGTGAGCTGCTGGCTGTATTCGGTGGTGAAGGACCTAATCCTATCCTTAAGCTGCTCCCACCACCTATTCCCAATAACTGCCCAACGCTAATCAGCAGCTGTTGAAGTCCTGCCTGTCTAGTAAAGATATGTTGAACTTCCAGTAGTCAGCCATTATAGACATAGTGTCTAATGCTACCCGAGCACAGATGAATTTCAGTGATTCATGTATACAAGTGTTTTCAAATTTGATATATGTGGAATATATCTGATGTCCCTCTGTCCTTTATATAGATTATTTTTAATCAACATTTTGGTCATCAATGCCTGCCAGAATGTCCTTGGTTTTCTGGATCAAAATTACCACTTCTGAATCTAATCAAACACTTATGAATAGTACTCTTAGCTGTGGCATCATCTCTATAAATGATGCCTAACTTTTTTTTTCTTTTCTGGAAACAAAAAGAGTGTAGCAATATTGTTAAAGGGAAAACAGCTGGACCTGTTGAAAAAAAAATGGATTCAGAACATTTACTTTCAACCGATGGTAAGTCAACTTCAAGGTACAGAGCAAGAGGCTCAGACAGAAAGTTACAGAATGAAGATAAATTATGTTTTTAAGACAAAGATGACAAGACAAAGAAAATTGTTATCTATAAACTGACCATCCTGTAAAAAGGCACAAAGAGACGAAGCAGGCCTCAGAGAACAGACAGGAGGTCACCCATTAGACTGTGCACCCCCCCTCCGCTCACCTACAACTCATCTCAACTTCGCCACTTATAGCAGTAGGTTACCACCCAAGAATAAAATAGAGTTTACTACTAAAAAATTTTGTTTTTCACTCGTAGGTAATGATCTGGCAGAAGAGTAATTTTTAAGCCACAAGCTGCATCCAGTCAATGAACCTCACTTCCCTCCATTTTTACTTAAAAATATTTAAAACTCACACACAAATTGTATAGACAGACACACTGAAATGTCACCTTTCAACATATATATATATACATACATATGTGTCATAAATTGAAATTGTGTGTTCAAACACTCAAAACCTTGGTTCAACCTAATAATAATAATAATTATCAAGAGAAAACAAATGACAATATTGCATGAGTGATATGTTTTGTATTTTTTTTAATGGCCTGTTTGATTGGGACTATTTCATCACCGGACAACAGACATTCTTAAAGTATAATTGTTTTTATACATATAAAGTTTCTTCAAAGTTTTTAAAAGCTTGTAACTACGGGTGGCGTTTCTTGGCAGATATCGTCAACTGAGTTGATCATACTTTTACATGTCAGTTCAACAACGGATATGATTGCAATGATGTACAATGTCAGGAGAAATTCTTTTATTTTAACATTTTCTTGTCAGAACGAGATGAAATCTTCCATTTTGGTTTTAAAACACAGCAAAATTTAAGTTTTTTTTTTTTTTTTTTAAAGATGCTGGAAGTGAGGGTAGTTCATTTTTGCCAACACTTTTTTTTTTTTATAATACTGGTGAACTAAATATCATATCACAAATGAACCTTTCCCTTAAAATTGTCTTTTTTTCTTTCTACTGAAAAATAAAAACTTGGGGAGTAATGAAAACCCACAAAATTTCTTTTTGGCAACAATGACATATTCCAAATTTTTTGACAAAGCTTATGATGATCATTATGGGATATGTATTATGTTAATTACGTTAAAAAAAAAAAAAATTAAATTTTTTTTTTTCCCTTTAAAAAGAAACAAAAAAAATTTTTTTTTTTTTTTTTTTTTAAAAAGAAACAGACTTAAGTGAATTACTCTTTAAAAAAAAAAAAATAGTAAAAGGCTTCATTCAATTTTTGCTGAAGACCATGAAAGTCATTTTTCAAACATCACTGATTTGGCCGCATCATTTAAAATTACATTATTTTTATGTTTGTTTTTGAGGTGTGATACAGTTAAATTTTAAAGAGGCCACTTTTTTGTACTCAAACCTTATCTCTTTATGGAATTTAAAAAAAAAAATGAAGGAGCAATAACTTAAAAAGGTGAGCATCTTATTTGCTATCGGGAATGTTAGCTTGGGGTGGCAGTTGTACTTGTTACAAAAGAACCCTGGCTTGGCTGTTTTCTTCACGGACAAATTCAGCTACAGTATCTTCGACTTTCCTTCCTTTGGTTTCAGGAACTTTGAAGTAGGTGTAAATGGAGAAGAGAAACAGGAATATAGTGAATGGTAGGAAGCTGTAGCCGCCAATGGCTTTCTGAAAACCAAGATTGAGAAAAAAAACAATGATAATTTGAGTGGTAAGAAAGTGATGCCAAATGGCCAAGTCAACATTCAGGTACAAAATAATTCTAAACTAACAAAAGATCACTGAAAGCAATTATTAACTCCAAAAATTTTTCATAAGCCAAAAAGCATGATTAAAACTGAAAGTTGACAATGGATATTTTTTTCTTCCTCTTATTGCTTGACAGGTGAGTGGTGTTTTAACTCTCACACACACATTGAGAGAGTGAGATATATAAGGGTAGGCAGTTTGTGACCTTTTGTGCCACAGAATGAAAATGTAGCTGCTGATTTATTTTATTCAAGGTAGGCAAGTCTCTGAGATTATGTATGTATATAATTTGTGTCAGAAATGAAAAAAAAAAAATCGGATATAACTACAATATATCAATAAAAGGATGATATGAATAAAGACAAAAGGAAAACTTATCTTAGCCAATGTGTTTTGTCCTCTAGTTCCTCAGAGGACGAAAGATGTTGGCTAAGTTTTCCTTTTGTCTCATGTATATGCCAGCTATTCCCATGTTACGAGCACACCTGTCTACTAGGGCAGCTAGCAAATCCCTGTCTCAAACACCCACTCAGGGACACATTTGTGTTTATTCAATGCCCACCTGTGGCTTATACTGCAACTAGTGAGTGTGGGAGAGAGGAAAAAAAAAAAAAACAGAACACACATCATCTGTAATGAGTAAACAATGCCAGTATGCTCGAACACACATTTACAATAATTTGTGCATCAATGACTTCAGCACAGTTCTGGTTACCCAATTTCACTCACAAGGCTTGAGTCCACACAGGCTTTGTTTTTCAGTACCCCTCCTAACATGCCACCTCCCTAGATCATTAATATAAAAAAGACACCTTCCTAACAAATCGAATGTTCTAGCTGTGTGTTTTATATGAGGCCACATTGATTCAGAGAGAGAGAGAGAGAGAGCGTACGTCGGAGTCAGTAGATTGCATTATTACTTACAAGTTTGTAAAAAAAAAAAAAAAAAAAACACATACATATATATATATATATGTGGCACCTTGCATTATTAGAAATATTCATAGAAATATGATTTAATTTTTTCTTACTCGGTTTACTAAACAAGTTGTTGATTTTTTTAAAACGGAAAATAATTGAGTTGAAAATAATTCACTAAGATTGTACTTAGACGATCCTAAGGGAAGAAGAGGAAAGAAAAGAGAGGAGAAGAGAGGAGGAGGAGAGTTGATGATGCATGACCCAGTCATAAGCGAAGATAAGTGTCAGAAAGATATCTTAAGCTAGCGTGTGGCCAATTTTTTTAAAGACAATTGGAAGAATAGAATTAGAAAGAAAAAGAAGAGAAAGAAAGAGAAAAAGCAAAAGAGAGGTCGAGAAATACAAAAAGCGGTCATTAACAAAAAACACGTATCAGAAAGGTAATTAGGCCAACATCTTGGCCGATTTTCGAAAGGACAATAGGGATTGTTATTTGGAAGGAAAGTCATTTTGATAAGAATGTATAAACATTGATAATAAAGAAAATATCGGTCGGAGCACATGACCGACTTTTTTTACGGAAAGACTCATTGTCAAATTGGAGAAAGGGGAATTTCTTTTTAAAACAATAGAAACGAAATCTTAATCAGAGAAAAAGTGTCTTTGGGTTGAGGGGAGTGACCTGTTAAAAATTAGAACCCCCACATTGACGAGTGAAAGATATTTTCAATGTAGATAATTAAGATTTTCTGACTGTCGGGTCTGACCAAAAACAAGAGGTGAAAAAACGATTGTCTCAGTTCACAGATAGCGCCAATATTCTTCCCTGAAGTCACATCTAATTAGCGGCAGGCTGTGTTGACAAAACCCAGGTGAGAAAAGCTAAGATTATCATTTTTTCGTGACGCGCGAAAAAAGGCCAAATTAGATTTTGTTTTTTAGAACAAGAACGATATAAGCCCGCCCGATTGATTGCAGGAAAACGCCCAACCAGAGTCTCATTAGCCGAAAACAGTCACGTGGCTGCGGAAAAGAAAAGAAAGAAATGCTCGATCAGGAACCATTGGTCGAAAGCGGTCACCTGACATACGCCTCCCCCACCAAAGGCACTATGAGGAAGTAGGGGTGAAAATAATAGCGATAATGAGAAGACAGAAATAATGCGACTTTTGGAAATTATCGAGAAAACCCTGATGCCGACAGACCCACCCCGGTTTCCTGCGGCGCCAATAAAAAGCAGGACCCCAGTCGACAGAAATGAGTTGGAGTGGAGTTGCAGCTGGACCGCGGGCAGGGAAAGAGCCTGAACGCTGGCATCGGGCCCCATTCACCTTTGCGGGCAAAAGAATCCTCAGACAAGAAATCCTTCCAGCCCAAGTCGAAGACAGAAGAGTTCAGCCCCGGACGGCAGCGAGAAGAGATCACCTCGGACGACAGAGAGTTGCGGCAAGAGATCCTTCCAGCCCAAGTCGAAGACAAGAGAACTTCCAGCCTAAGTCGACGAAGAAGAAGAAATACAACTCAAGTCGAAGAGAAGAATCAACTGCGAATGATCGATAGAAATTAGCCCCAGTGTCGAACCAAACCACACTCCGACATACACAATTCTAAAGAGTAGGCAATTCAAATCTTTAGGTTGTGTGATAGAAGCTTAGTGCCATAGTCCACAGAGCGGGTCGGGAAATGAGAACAATTTTGTTTTTATGTAACGGATATTAAGATATAAAGGTTGTTACCCTTTTTTTTTTTTTCATCAGCAATCTTTTTGTCTCGTGAGTTTATTTTCTTTTATTTGTGTTTTGCCACCCCCGTCGGACTCAACTTGTATCGCCCCAATCCCTGCTGGTCCCGTCTGTCTAAGATCTAAACACAGCGGGTAGACAGACCGGAGATCGGTACAGTTGCTTCAGTGACCAGGTATTGGAAGCGAGTCGGGAAAGGCGAGGCTGGTGATCATCTGACCAAGGGGTTGAGCGCACGCTTGGACCCAGGAGGAGCGATGTCACCGTTGGCGCCGTAACCAAAGGATCCGACCCTGGGCCAGGTGTGTAACCGTCACATATATATATAAATAAATATCTCCTAGAAAGGATTAAAAATTTCATGAATAATAAAGTACTTTGATCTTTCTCTTAATAATAAATATTTTGTCAATAAAACTTTAGTTTAGGGTCTTTTTACAACTAGTCATGTAACTCCTACTTTGGAAACTTTTTCTCAAGTGCTCCATAAAGATAGCTTTTCAAACAAAGTTGATTCAGTGCTTGTTTTTTTTGAATCACCTGCCATCAGTGTAACTGGAGCATTAATTATTTAATCAAAAGAACATTGATGAGATAAAACAAAACAAGTAACATTAATAATTGAATATTTGTCACAAAAACAATAGTTTTATTTCTGGGCAAAACACAGCAATTTCATAAAGAAGAAAAATTAAATGTTAAATATTTTTATAATTTGTAAAACTGCTAGCAGTAGAACCATTTTTTTTTTTAAGTACCTGTAGTGGAGGATAAGCAATTCCAACTAAAAAGTTAGCCAGCCAGTTAACAGTGACCCCTATGCTCATAGCAACATCACGTGGACCCTGAAGGAAGATCTCAGCACCAATAAACCAAGGTATAGAACCTAAAATGAAAACATTTCATTATCAAAATTATTAAAGAAAGAAAAGCCTTTTATTTATAAATTAACCAAGGTAAATGAACTTAAGTAGTCATCCACTTAGCTTCATACATTGTTGCTTAACTTTAGTGGATTGATTGATATTGTTTTTTTGTTTACAGGTTATCAACCCTTTGTGGATTATTTAAAGCTAAAACATTTTGGATTGCAAGAATAATTTTTTGTGAGTGAATACTGCATGAACAGTTTGTTGAGAATAATGATTCTCCCCCCTCCAATACAAATCCTACTATTTAACTCATAGCTGGGGGAGAAGAGATGGATTCACATCTTTTCAGAGTATTTGTGCCTAAGTGAATGAAAGAAACCTGACTGGAATTTGAACTCAGCTCTCTGATTTCTCATTCTGAGCTGCTATCTGTTGCATCACTTGCACATTTAACTTTAGTAGAGATTAGATTATCTGATTTACTTGTCTCTATCTGCTCATGTCTTGGGATATCATCTAGTTCTTATTTTTAAAACAAGTAGTCATCAGCCCCTATGGAATAAAGTGGACAAAGAAGAACACTGGAGAGTTAGATGTGTGAAAGAATCGGTGCATATGCTATGTTATGAGGATCTCCTTAGTAGGTCTAGCATAGAAATAAATACAATATGAGAGCCGCCAATAGAAACAATTGACAGCAAGTCTTCAACTGCAGCACCAGTTGCAACCTAATCAGCAGGCAGGTTGAGTTTAAAGCTCTGTGTTCACTACAGCAAATTGTCCTATGAGACAATGGCCTAGTGGATAAAAGTGTTAGTTTGTGAATTTGGTGACAGTGGTTGTTAGATTCAGGCAGTGCAATCAAACGAGTGAGCAATAACTGAACAGTACTAAATAAAAATAAGAACTAGACGATATCCCTAGACATGAGCAGTGGAATGAAAGCAGTCTATCCCTGTAGATTAAATAAAGAGTTTCGTTCAGAATTCCTTGGAGGTTACCCAGATTGATATACACCTGAGGAAGTCCAGAGGGCACAACAGCTGAAACGTGATAATGACAACAAAAATGAGGGTAATAGTCCCGATATAAATAGTGTGAACACTAAGTCATTATCTAATAAAAATATTCTCACAATCTAAAATTATTTTCTGGCTTTGAATAACCTGCAATGTGTTGATTTAGTAAAAATGCATCAATCAATCAATCATCTTTGGACAAAATTTTCATCCAGAATATCTGCAACCTCAACAGGGCTGGTGTTTGCCTAGGTTTAATATGAAGTAGGTAATAATTTGTTGGGTAGACATGAGAGAATCTTTTAAGTGTTCACTTGCCCACTCTTCAGTTATCAAGGTATACCAGTGACAAGACTGTTAAAAAAAATCTGACAAAAGGAGTGAAGAGGGAGATGGGCAAGGCACAGGGAAAAGTAGATTTATGCCTTTTCCAACAAAGGATTCAAATTGAACATAAATAATCTCTGCCAGCCCAGATTTTATCACAAGATAAGTTATGTGTACAAAAAGTAATAAAGTTTAAATTCCATACCTGGTCCAATGGCAAAGAAGATAATATACAAACAGATGCCAGCAACAGTCAGGTAAGGCAACCAAGATGCTTTTTGCTGAAAAAGTTAAGGTGAAAATCAAAGATTAAAAAAATAAAATAAAAATAGGTATGATTTGGCAGCAGGTACAGACTTTTAATATATCTGAATCAATCTTAAATGAATTATTCATTGGCTTCCTTTCAGAAGTCTTGTCTTTCTGTACAAACATAGAAAAAGAATTTTATTGGGGTAAAATTAAATTGATGTCCATTAAAAAAATATTTTAAAACTAACTGCTGATTTGTGAATAGATTTTATGTCTGCAATGTTTTAATCATTTTGCCCTAAATAAGGTGATAAAGCCACTAAGACAGGGATTACTGAGAGTGAAGGAAAGAAACTAAGAAAACATCCCAAAACAAAGCTATTAATCCTCCTGCCCTAAAGAAAAATCAGGGTGTCATGTCAATATTTTTTTTTTATTCAACTATTGAAAATTAACAACAAAAACCTTAAACACTATTTAAAAGATTATTTATTTACATGAATAATTTTATATTTACAAGTTTATACAATTATGTGAACCAACTACAATGCAATATTTATTATTTACAAAGAAATAACTATGAAAATGCTTTTATTCATAAATTTATAATATCTGTGAACATGAGAATAAAAAAAATTAAATAAACACTTAACAACAAGCAATTGTAACTATAAACTTTGAAAAATAGTTTTTCTAAGCATTTATTTGGTTTGCTTTCACCACATAAATTAACTAAAATAGGTGCAGACATTTTTCATATGTTTAAGCTTTATTAATACTAAAAATAACTTTAAAACAATAAAAATTACTGAAGGACTATACAGTAATAGTGTTATCAAGAGAAAAACAATCCTTTTGAGACTTTTTTTTGTGGTTACATTTGTTAAACTTTTCTTTTGCAGGAGTCTAGAAATTAGGTCGGCAGAAACATTATGGTAACAAAAGAAAGAATGAGTACAACTGACCAAACGGCTTTTGAAAGAATAGTGACATCTCACAATTAGAGAAGGTAAAAAATTCATCTTTCTTTATTTTTTCACCTGAAGTAGGTGTTAAAAAATGAGTAGACATCTGGTGTCCTTACCTTTAAGACAATACCAACAATCACAACAATTGAAGAGAAAAACATTCCTTGCATGCCCGTTAAATGAAGCATACGTCGTCCAAGGCGGTCGATTAAAACAGCAGATGCACTTGTGACAAGAAGGTTGAGCACTGTTATAAGGATTGTAGCCAGTTGAGCAATATTCTGTGACAGTTTCACAGACCTGAAGATACTTGTCGAATAAAACGTTACCTACATAAACAAAAGATGTTACTTGTAAAACTACATTAATTTGTTATTTAGTCTTTAAATATATTATTTGAAATTCAAATTTTTAAAGTGGTTGGATGGTAGAAGAAAATATTGAAATCTGGCTAACCACACATTAGAAAAAAAAAATCAAATGCTTTTATATCAGATCAAGATTAGGAAAGGCTAAGTATTATCCAATAAAAGACCCCCAAGAAAGGATTTTTATTCAATAACTTATTTCAAAAAAAATTTTTTCCCTTAATAGAAAAAAAAAAGAATATTTCAAAGTGAAACAAATAAGATGATAATAAAACAGATTATGCATGAAGATTTTTGACATCTTCAGGTGGAATGGATGAGAGAGAGAGATAGATAGTTTGGGCTGAACAATACATGTCAATCTTTGAGAAAATAACCAGAATATACTCACGGCATTTATACCGGAAAGTTGCTGCGAAAGCATCATCATGATAACAATGAAGAGGGGTTTACGTAAATGTGGCTTGCGAAATAGGTCATTAAATGTTGTCTGCAAATATACAAAAGATTGTGCCTTTGTATTTTAAGAAATCAATGGAAATGACTAATATTTTAAGGAATCAATGGAAATGGCTAAAATCACTTGTGAGTGAAAATGCCTCTGCCTTGAATATAATGCTACAAGAATATAGGTAGTATGAAATCCTAACAATAATGTAAACATTTCTCCATTTTTTTAGTGTGTGTGTGTGGGGGGAATCAGTGTTAACTATTTTGAAAAAGGAAATAAATTTTTCAGTATTAACAATCTTGAAAAAAATTTTTTTTGGTATTAACTATTTCAAAAAAAAAAAAAAAAAAAAAAAAATTTAGTGTTAACTATTTTGAAAAAGAAACAAATTTTCAGTATTGACAATTGTGGAAAAAAAAATTATTTTTGTATTAACCATTTTGAAAAAAAGTAAAGTAAAAATTGCAAATTTCTAACCCGTGGCTTATGTTTTGATTCCTCCTTTATGACACGAAGTTCCTCCAGTTCATAGCCAACGTCATGTGTGCCTCTCAGCCAAACCAAAGCTACAACACAGACAAATCAAGAGATGCATTTTCTGGAAATTTTCATGAAAACTACACAATAAAAACTTTGGGACTTGAATCTATCTTTTGCTAACATTTATATATTTTTGTTTTCTTTTATTTTTTTTTTTTAAGTAAAAAAAATTCTATTGAAAAACTAATGTTATCACCAATCATGTCAGTAGCCATTTACAAACTCCTCCATCATTCTATGTATTTTGTGAACTCTTCATCTTTGTTTCTATTCACACAACATTTTGTCCTTCTTTAGGTCTGTACTGAATCTGGTCTTTAAAAGTGGCTTAGTATTTTTTTCTCTCTGATCAAGGAATTTATTAAATTTCTACTGCTATCGGTAAAATTCTTTAAATTTGTGTTGATTAGTATACATGAGAAGCCTTGGCTGTAAAGATTAGTTCTGCTAAGCACTAGTTGACATTTTCTCTTTTAATTCATACTGTCTGCTTTTTTAAAAACTTGTGCAGATTCTTTCATCTTATAATCTTTCCATTGTCCTTCTATATCTATTATTTTTATATAATTGTAAATCTACATTATACAACCTCCTTACAAAAGGTCAGTCCTTCAGAGGGTAAAATAGGTTGTGTCAAACACATACTATATAGTTTTGATAACGAATATTGAGGAGAAACTAGGCAACGATTTAAAAATCAAACTTGAGGAACTCTAAAGCTATGAAGTGAAATAATGAAATCAGGCCTAGAAGAGCAGATAGAGAATGAAAGGAGACACGTTGCCTACACTGAAACAATGTACAACAAAAATTAAAAAAAAAAAAATACGTAGATTTCTTGATAATTTTCAAATCTTGCCTGTTATTATTAAAATCCCCCCCCCCTATACAAAGCGGAAATACCACTAGTGGGTAAGGGGTTTACAAGAAGTGAAAGAGAAGACTGAGAATGGCAATTAATTTAAATTTTTGAAGATTGTAGTTATCAGGGAAGTAAATAAACAGAGGTTCCAAAGGTGGGAAGTGCAAGAAAAGAAACTATTGGTGTAGAAGTGGCGGTTGCATTTAACTATTTCATCAGTAAAAGCGTGGGACCTAGATGCCAATCTAGTAGCACACTTAAATTCATGTACTCGGGGCACCAAGGAAAAAAAGCTTGTCAGAGCAGTTGCCATAGAAATATTTGTAGAAAAAACAGAGGGAAGCCACATCAAAATTATCTAAAATTAATCTTCTCTATAAGACAAATTGAGGAAATGAAAACTGATCAAATATTATTAAGCATCAGGGTTTGGTATATATTTAGAGCAGTGATTCTCAACTGCCATACTGATCATCTTAAGTGTGCCGCAAAATATAAAATAGATAAAGAATTTGAGTTTGATGCTTATTTATTAAATAACAGGCCATTTATGGCAATATAAAAATTATGCTAGTTTCTTTTTTTTGTTTTTTTTTTAAATCATTTCAACACAAGGCAGGAATGCCACTAGTGCACAGGAGGTTACAGGGAGTGAAAGTGAAAGAGAAGAATGAGAATGGCGATTGATTTAAATCTCTGAAGATTATCAGGGAAACAAGTAAACTGAAATGAATTCTACAGGTGGGAAGTGTGAGAAAAGAAACTGTTGGAGTAGAAGTAGCAGTTGCATTTATCATATCTCAACAGTAAAATGGTGGGACCTAGATGTCAATCTAGTAGCATATTTAAATTCATGTATTCAGGGTATCAGGGGGGGAAAAAAGCTTGTCAGAGCAGTTGCCATGAAAATATTTGTAGAAAAGACAGAGGGAATCCATGTTACACCAGTGACTGAAGTCAAGATGTCTGGTCAGGATCAATTGCACTACAGATCCTTTTTAGAATATTATTTACACAGACTATTGTTCCATCTTTGTTGTCATCAGCACGCTGGTTAGGTTTAAGGTTCCAAGTTCTCCACTTACATTTCTCCCACAGGACAAAGGCCTAGTGGATTAAAATGTTGGTTTGTACATTTGGTGACATAATAATTGTGACCAGTGTGCACTAAGACTCAGTGCAAATGTGGCGAGCAATAACTGAGCAGTACTAAATAAGAACTACATGAAATATCTGTAGACATCGTCAGTGGAACAAGAACAATCTGCCCCCATCAATTAAATAAAGTATTCAGCTTGAAATTTCCTAAAGGTGACCCAGGTTGACAATCAACTAATGAAGTTGAGAGTGTGCAACAGCCAAAAAGTTATAACAGCAAAGATGAGATAATAGTCTGCATGTAAATAATGATAACTCCTCATCCCAGAAATTCAGACAGAAATATTGCCAGCTTTCATATTAATATTACTCAATATTCAATATTACATTACTTAATATTAACTCAGAACATGAATATTCAATCTTATGACTGTTGTATTGTTTTCTTGTAGAGGAGATGAAGATCTAACATATGCCTGAGAAAGGCCAACAAATAACTTGGCTGAACTTTGTGATAAGAAAATAAGCCAATGAACATAATGCTATAATGAAATGCTACCTGTCCACAGTTATTCTCTTAATTATTGTTTGAGTTGACTGGCAAAAATAAGACTAACACTCTTCTTCTAATAAAATACTTTTTAACTAGTTGTAATGAAGATTTATAAGTTAAAAAACGCCCAGCAACTATTCCAATATGCCCTTGTTTTTGTATATTATGCCAAGAATATGGTAAGAACAAGAAATTAGGGGAAGGTATTGGCCTTTCACTATCCTCTGTCTATATTTATTGTAACTATTTACACCATTTGAACTGTTGTCCTTATCTTTATTGTCATATTCATGACATTTCGACCATTGTACGCCCCGGCCTTCTTCAGGTGATATATGTTGGAATTTCAAACCAAACAGTTTATTTAGTCCACTGGGGTAGATTGTTCTAGTTCCATGTGCCATGCCTCTTCTGGATTTTCAGTTATTTCCTTTTAATAACTCAACTCTCCAAATTTTTGTTCACCTCTTCTGTGGCCAGATATTGAACTCACAACTCTTTCGATCAAGTCACTGGATTACTTCAATCAATGCTTTCATCCACTGGGCCATGTGTTCACTATCCTATCATTAATTTTGTTAGTCACTGATCCAACCATTCATCAAATCTTTCATGCTACAATCACCAAAAAGCCATTTTCACTATGTAAATTGTAACTAAACTTATATTTATAATTTTATGTAAGGAAGTGTGTGTCCTTGGAGTGGGGGGGGGGTAATAAAAATTAATATACAACAATTTAAAAATTTTCTCTTGATTTTTAAATGACATGAGGGAAAAATTAAAAATATGCATTAGCATGTGTTTTTACCTGAATAATATCAAATGAAAAGATGTGGAAAAAAAAAATTCCCACATATCCAAAGAACTTTATTTTCTGTTATCTAATGGGGACGGAAGTGAAAAACAATTTTGAGTAAATAAAAAGTAAAAGGAACCAATGAGCATATGTTTTCCAATATTAAATTATCAAAAGAAAAACAATGATATTCTACATTAACATGGGCTAGGCTGATAAGCTATTCTCGGATGCAAAAAATCTCTTTCTTAACCAATTATCTCAATCTTTTACATAACAGTCATGGAATATTCATCCACCTTTTGCTATAGTCTGCCAAGGACAGTCACTTTCTCTTTCCATTCTGATCAACCTTCAATTGACGATTATCTCATATAGGCCAAACTAAACAACCCAAAAATCATTAAAAATATAAACCCTTACATGCTTCTGCTTCGTCTTCATCATGCATGATGAGATGATGAGGTGTTTCAGGACACCAAGGTAACGATAACATCTGAATGATTACAGGAATGATTGACACACCTAGAAAAAGGAAAAAAATGAATTGCTGACATATTTGTAAATATTTCATTAATAATGGAATGTATTCAATAGTAAATACACACAATTAATTTTCAAAATGATAAGAAACAAAGCAGAACTTTTCCTTTTCATTTAACTTTCAGTTTTTAATAATAGGGATACTGAAAAGTTCTCAGACCAACTCGTTTCTCAAAATCTAACCAAACAACCAAACATCAGAATTGATTTCGTAATTCCTTCTTCATTGGACAAAGAACTTTTCAGCCTCCACCCCTGAGAAGATTAAACAAAAACTTAACAATTTAACTAATGACAGGTCATTTCTTTAAAGGATTACATTGTCAATATAAAATACAAATAAATGCCAGGGTCCTAGCAACTGGAATATTATATTTTATAAATATTTAAGTCATAACATATCTTTAGGTTTATCATACTGCCTTCTTGATCTAATTTCTCTGGTTGCAACATGTGTCGGGGGCTGAATTTTATCAGAGACTTTTAACAAAATATGGTGGCACTGCACTACTGCGTAGAAGTGTGTATGAGTGGATCAAAAAGTTTAAAAGTGGCTGAACAAGTGTGACATATTAAGAAAGAGCAGGACACCCATCAACCTCCACTACTGTCAAGAAGATTCAGCAAGCTCAAAGAGATAGTAATGTTGCACCGGCAAGTTATCATCAATGAGGTAGCATGTCCTCTGCAGATTTGGATCACTCCTCTTTGTTCCTCCTTAGTGTACACTGCTAGTGGAGTGGCCATGTTTACACTGTAACAGCAATAAGAAAACTGGCACGATCAAGCTCAAACTTCAATCATAGGACCACAATAATATCAACTATAAGCATGCATGAGCAGAAGGCAATGAGAGAAACCTAAAGATATGTTATGATTTATCCATATATATATATATATATATATATATATATATATATATATATCCGAGAGTTGCACGTTGGATCAGTTATTTTAATTTCAATTAAAAGGTGCAAATATAATTATAATTTTGTTTTACTGATAAGTATTCTTGCCATTTAATTCATTAACCTCTATATTTGTTTTTGTATGAATGATTCATGAATTTTTATATATATATATATATATATATATATATATATATATATATATATAAGATACTAGTCTAGTTGTAAGTGCTAGGATATGTTATGGCGAAAATGCCAATAATTTTTTTTACTTGCCCTCATATATATACCAATTCCTTTCAGAATTTGAAACAAATTTAATAATTGAAAAGTGAAAGTCAAATGTTGCAGAAAACTACAACTTAACATTTAATCATCAATTATGAGAGTGAAGAATGGGGAGAGGAACTTTAGCTTAATAAAATAATTAAACATCTGAACTTTCATTTAAAAATCACTTCCAAATCAGTTAATCAGGAGTTTAATTTTTGATAGTACTTATATCTGCTTAGTTCCGTTTATTTCTCACATCTTCAAAAGACCAAGCCAGGAAAAAAAAATCCCAAGCAACAGTTGATGGGAATTCAACCCCCCCTTTTTTTTCTTCTGTTACTGAAAAATCAATTCTCATAACTTTAAAATTGTATACACTACCAGTCAAAAGTATTTGGCCACCCTCAAAAATTTTTATTTCTCTTCCTAAAAGTGTTATTTTTAATGAAACAAGTTAAGCTTCACAATGGTTTTATTTATTATACTAAATACAAGTCTTCCTTCATAACTTTGAATTTAGTATAACCAGATATCTTTGGAAAAATTGATTTGAAGGAGTTCTTCTTTAGTACTGAGTACGAATAAACTGTTTTCCAAAAGTTACATTATACCACCATTTGAACTCAGATTAGACTATACTGCGTTGACTTACTGTTTGCTAGTTACTACCTGTTTTACCTATGCTGCCAATGTACTTTGCCCGGTAGTAAAATCTGTTATTCTTATTTTGTTTAAATTAAAACCTAAATTTTGCAACTTTCTTCCAGATCAAAACTTTTTTCTCAACAAAATGCCCAAAGCATGTGAACTTACACTTGAACAAAGACAAGCGATCATTACTTTTAAAAAAAAAGAAAAAAAGAAGGGTATTCAAGCAGAGAAATTAAAAAAAAATTCCCAGAACTACAGTAGATTATACTGCTAGAGACAGGTCAAAAGAAAACCAAAAGTAGGGCTGCTTGACCAAAAGCAACAACAGCAGAGGACAATTTCATCAGAATCACCAGCTTGTGCGACAGAAGGCTGACTGCTCCAAACATCACTGTACAACTGAACTAATGTTGTAAAAAAAAAAAAAAAAAAAAAAAAAAAAAAAAAAAGTGTCACCATCCATTGTGAGAAGAAAACTATCAAGCTGGGCTACGTGGCAGAATTGCTGTCAAGAAACGACTGTTGAGGAATCAAAACAATGTCAAAAGGTTCCAGTGGGCCAAGGCTGGACAATAGAGCAGTGGAATAAAGTCCCTTTGGACTGACGAATCAAATTTCAAAATCTTTGGGTCAAATAGGAGTATCTATGTACAGTGAAGAGTTGGTGAAAGAGCTTTAACCCCCTGTATCACACCAACGGTAAAGCATGGAAAAAGCTCTGTTATGGTTGGGGGTGGGATTGCCAATTGGGAATTGCAGTTGGGAATTTGCACCAGATGAAGTGCAAACTGAATCAGGCCGGCTATCACAGCATACTGCAGCATCCTGTGATCCTATCTTGTGTGTCAAGGATTTGTATTTATGCAAGATAATGACCGAAAACATACTAGTAAACTCTGCCAGGAGGTACATTAAAAGCAAAGAGGAACAGCACATCCTTCAACTGATGTCTTGGCTGGCACATACAATGGACTTAAATCACATTGAACTGGTGTGGGATGAACTTGACTGAAATGTCAGAGCTAAACAGTCCACAAGTGCAGCTCACCTCTGGTAACTCTTGCAGGAAAGCTGGGAAGAACTATCTTCAGTCTACATCTAGTCTTTGGTGGAAAGAATGCCAAGAATCTGTAAAGCAGTGATAGCGGCCAAAGGGGGTCATTTTGATAAATATAAAGTTTAAGAAGTGTTTTTGTGTTTTAATTTGTATTTAATGTGGCTCGGGAAGACTTGTATTTAGTATAACAAATAAAACCATTGTGGTGCTTAACTTGTTTCATTGAAAATAACACTTTTAGGATGAGAAATAAAAATTTTGAGGGTGACCAAATACCTTTGATTGGTAGTGTAGCTGTTACCAGTACAAATAGTAATGGGGTTTAAAAGTACCAAGTGGCAATTAGTTTTAGTCATGTTGAATCAAAATCATTATTTGCATCATTCTTAGTAAGTAATATGTAAATGTAAGTAAACTTACATAAGAGAGAGAGAAAAAGAAAAGGAATTTGGTTAATTCTAAATCCAGTTCTAAAATTCAATATCTTATTGTGTAACCAACTTTCAATACTGAGGGCATTTGTAACAATTAAACTTACCAAATATCAAAGGCCAAAGATTCTTGTTTCCAATGACACTTTGTAAACCCATAATCTGAGAAACTATGATCCCCATAAGAATGGCACATTGGTTGATAGTGGAAATGACACCCCGCATATGTAAAGGTGCAATTTCAGAGAGGTACATTGGGGCAACACTGGTGCTGACACCTTGAAAACAAAAAAAATTGATTATTATGTAATAGAAGTAATATTGATGATGAAATATTTAAAAGGCATATCTGCACATTCAAAGTTTTGCATAAAAACATAAAAGTTGAAAAAAAATTGTTGATTGGTAAATTGAAGGAAGGCTAAGCAGATTACATATTTCCAATACCAGAAAAATGATTTATCTGAAACTTTAACAATAAGAAATTAAAATTGTGAGAAGGATTGGAAGAAAAATAATATACAACATGAAAATTTCATTAAAATCTGATAATTATTTGATTTTTTAAAGAATTTCCAAATTTCTTTTACCACAAAAAGATGCTAAAATTTGCTATGCTAATCATAATAGAAGCATATTGAAAATGTCCTCTTCAAATTACCCCTCCCCCTCCTACATAGTATTATTTGAGTGATTGTTAAAGTTTTGAAGGATTTCAAAGGCAAAGAAATGGTCAGAAATGTCCCTTAATTGTTTAAAATGAAGTTAGAATTCATAAAGGCTTGTATGGTGATTTCTGTGTTGCTTGAAAAAAACCCCCAAAAAAAACAAACAAACAAACAAAATGCACACATATACAAATAAATAAATAAATTTTATATATATATATATATATATATATATATATATTAATGTATATTTGGGCAACAACCTTTCTTTTAAACATATTTCATTAAATATGGCAGACAAAGAAAATTTATTTAGTTTATTTAGTTTTTCCAGCATTCTTACATTTTCCTTGTTTGGTGAGAGTAAGGGAGCACAAAAATTTTCCATAATCTCTATTGACCCAAATGCTTTTGGACACTTCTTTTATATATATATATATATATATATATGTGATTTTATATGAGACACTTTTAATAGAAAAGTGAGTTTTGGAAAGAAACTGATGGGAAAGTTATTACAAATTAAACAAATGTTCATTTGATCTGATAGCAAGGAAAGTTTCTTTGCTGCTTATAATATAAATTATGCAAATATAAATCAACAATTTCAATTTCTAGGACTCTAAGTAGTGTGGAGTAGAAGAAGAGTAGGGCCAGTTTAATCCATTTATGTGGGGTGGGGGTGGATGTAAAAAGTAAATTCATGACAATGATGTTTATAATAAAGACAAGAAGAAATCATTCATCTACTCAGCATTTTTTAGAATGAATTAAAATTTTTTTTCTGTTATTCTTTGGTAATGCATTTTTTTTGTCAGATGACAAATTCAGTATTCCAAGTCTTGCACATTTGTCTTTCCACATTTTAGAATCTCTTTATTTCTAGAAGTCAATTTGTCTTTGTGAGCATAAGTACATTCTTTACACTTTTTTTTTTTTAGAGGTAGTAAAGCCATGAAGACACAAGGGGTTACAGATTGTGGAAGAAGTAAGAACAGAAACATTAATGAGTGGGTAGAGGAAAGAATAATCAGGAGGACAGCAGATAGCAAATGACATTGTGTTTAAATTTTTGTAGATTAAAGTTGGCTAGAAAGCATGGAGCCAGAAGTGAGTTCCACAAGCGATAATCAAGAAAAAAGAAACTGTTAGCATAGAATTTATGGTTGTATCTAGCCAGCTCAACTGCAAATTGATGCCAGTCTAGTACTGCACTTAAATTAAAAAAAATCTAGGTACCATAGTGAAGTGCTCATCTGAACAACTACCATGAAAGTATTTATAGAAAAAGCACAGGGAGACAACCAGATCAGGACCAATAATATTGTTGATTCTTCTTTGGATTTTATCAAGGAGCTCAAGGTAAATAGCAGGAGCACTGGACCATATATGGAAGCAATATTCTAAGCTTGGACTCTTTGACATTAATGGGTATAACTTAAGTTTGCCTATTATCTGCGTTTTTTGGGGGTTTTTTAAGATGACAGATAAGGTTTATGTAGTGATATGTAAATGACTGCCTAATTAGCATAGCTAAGGCCTAGAATACATAAATGCCTAAGCAGAAAGGGTAGGGCAGCTCTTGGTATGGAAGATGAATGACTACCACTGGACTGATAAAGGAAAGTGCACTTTCTAACTTACTTTTAAACTGTTTTGACCTCCATTTTTAGCAATTCTATTTTATTGTTTAATATTTTAAACTTATCAATAATCTACTTTGTTAGGGGTTGATCAAAAAGCTGGTCACTTAGGAATTAAACCACCTGTTTCTTTTTTGAGAATTAATTTCAACATGTCTCTGCTTCTTCAAGTTAGATGTAAATTTTGTACTGTTAAGAAAATACAAGAATTAATCTTACTTCATGATTCTTAAGTCTTTTTGATACTAACGTAAATATTTTCAAATATCTGTATTCTTTCTGTTAAAAAAAGGAGTTGGTTCCAAGCTATTTATTAGTAAAAACAGCAAAGGGCTTTTTTTTTTCTTTTTTTTTTTTTTTTTTTTACATTATTCTTATATGGTTCTATAAAGTTGACAGATAGGTTCTAATACAAATTTAATAAAATCTGTACAGATATTGACTGGCAATGAGAATGTAACACATTTCCCCAACACTGTGATAATGAGTTTTATGAATCACTTTGAATTCAGAGTTGTTAAAAAAAATGAAAAAAAGAAATGCAAATACTGTCCGATCTCTTTAATCCGGCACTCTGGTTTTTTTGGGGGTTTTTTTTTAAAATCAGCCGGTATTGGTTCTTTGAGTGGATACAAGAGCAGCACCAGACATTGTTTGCAACTTTTCACAATATCTGACAGCAGCAGTGTTTTGGTGATACAGTCTTGCTCATTTCTTATATATAACTGCATATTCACCCATTCAGGATGCCACCCAAGAGAGCAGGAGATACAGATGATGGTGCTAGAGGTAAGAAGCATATGCATAAATCTTTATCAATGCTTGAAAAGCAGAAGATACTGCATGGAACAATAAAAACCTTGTTTGGAAGCATTAACGCTTGTTTTATTTCCTGTTTTAAGCTTTGATAACAGCAATATATAGGTGAAATGAGCTGGCAAGACTATGTTTACATAGAGGTTTTTTTAGGGGTGATTTCTGTCATCTGGCATTTTCTGTGGTCTGGCAGTGGCCCAGTCTCAAATGTATCGGATTAAAGCAGTTGGACTGTAAAATCTTTATATTTTTTAAAATACATCTTTAGCAGATAAGGAGATTTTTTAATCTTATTAATAAATTATTCTGATAATATATTATAAATATTTGAATATATTGTTTTAGTATGCATTTTGTCTACTTTACAGCAAGTTTTTCTACTTAAAAAAAAAATGAAAAATGAGAATAAAGTTTAAGTGCAATTACACTTGTTTCAAAAATTAGTTGAAGCCAATATTTTGAGATGTTGAATCAAGAAAAAGAAATCCCTTTGAAAATGGGAAGGATGAAGTTGAAAATTAAACAAAAGAAACAATTAAGTGAATTGTCTATGATGTTATTTATTGTTGGTAGAAATTGAAACAGTAATGTGAAAAAAAAAAAAAAAAAAGTATTTGTAATTTACCAGCACTGATCCCCATGATAAATCTGCCAACAATGATCATTTCAAAACTGTATGCAATTTGCGAAAAACACATCAGAGCTAAAGCCACCACTGTTGGAATGTTGTTCAGCAGCAAAGTCTGTTTTCTGCAAAGCAAACAAATGAAATGAAATTTTATCCACATATCAAAGTAAATTACAAAGGAACACTTTTTGTTTACTCTATTGTACCATCAATAACAAACAGAAAAAGAGTTCAGAAGGGTTTGAATAAAAACATTTAGACTTTTGCTACCAACCAGTGGTTCTCAACCTTTTTTTTTAGCCATGCTCCACCTAAGCATCTCTAAAATCCTGATGTCCCCCCCCATGACATGTAATTCTTATTATTAAAAAAAAAAAAAAAACTCCTGTGCACATGGAGGAAGCCTAAAAGGCCATTAACTTAATCTAAACAAGCTTCTAAAGAACATGGCATTCATCAAAGAGAAAAAATGAAAAAAAAATGAAAGGAGAGTTGAAGTACTGAAGAAGAAATTACTAAGAAGTTATTAAAAAAAAAAAAAAAAAAATTATATATATATCTAATTACGCATGTACATACATACATGCAAATATTTTTATGTAGGCATATTGTATATGCACTGTATTAACTTTCACACAGATTCACTAGAAAAAATTCAGTGTTAATAATTCATTCTCAAATTGTCCCCACCTAAAATTCAAATTGTGCCCACGTACAAACCCTTTCTTTAAGACTTTTGTATACACACTTAAAAAGAATATTTCCAAAGAAATAGTAGAAATTAGAAAAAGGAAGTGTTTTTTTTTGTCATAGTTAAATTTCCTGATCATTTAGATTGGACCTTAAATAAACACAGCCCTATTCTGTCAGTAAAGTTGGCATAAAATCCTGATCACTGGAAATCTTTTTCTTGACTTTCAATGCACAGCATACAAACTGATGAAACCTGTTCAAATTTTTAGGCAAAAAATTGTAAAATTCAGTGTCCACCCCCACCATATTTTTAAAACCAGTTGTGCAGCCTTGATATAATTTGGAGATTAATTAGAAGAGACCATTGCTGCATATGCACAAACAGACTCTCTTGTGGGATTTACTCAGTCAACAGTGAGATACTATGAAGTAAGCTTGTGCATTGTGATTGTCACTTTCACAATGAGTAAACAAATATATTCTACATCAGGGATTTTTGGCAAAACATCACATTCTTCATGTCTGCCAGCCCCACTACACTACCTCTATTTGGGTCTCCATGATATAGCCTTTCACAAAGCTAAAATTCATGACTGCAATACCATGAATGAGATTATAGAAAACATGAGGACAACTGATAGAATTCCTGAAGGAATTTGTGAAAACAATTTTGGAAAGGGAAATGGTATGCTGGGATAAAGGTGTGATGTCCCAAGGGAAATATTTGGAAGGGGACTAAGACACCATTGTCCTAGGTTGGCTTTAAGATCTGAGTGTAGTATCTGTGTACTATGTTAAAAGCGCTAATCATAAACACATGGATAAAAAGAAAGAAAGAAAAAAAAAGTTATGCATATATCTGAAAACTTTGGGAATAGTGTTGCTTACCTTCCAAATTTTTGCGTTAACTGAGAAACCAGAAGTCCGCCAATCATACCCCCAACACAGTAAATAGAAACAGTAAAGCCCCATATCACAGGCAATGTCTTTGCAGAAACATACTTTTTTTGATGATAGTATATCGAATCGTTGATGAAGTGTTCAAAAATCTGTAGGGAGAAAAGTAGTTAATTATCAGGTACGAAACAATGATCTCAGAGTTGTCTTAACAAGCTTCAATATCAAAGACTTTATTCTTTTCTGACAACAATGATCCTCTCTCCCTTATCCATTTTTTTTTTTTTACTGTACTTTAAATATTTATTTAGAAAGGAGACAAAAAGAAGACAGTTTACATGAATAAAGAATAACAAAATATAGCCTTTGTTACTTTGATATTTCTAATATATGACCATAAAGGGAAGTTTCCTCCTTTTTTTTTTTTTTAGTTGCCTAGTATTTAGAGGCATGTAATAATGATAATAATACTCAATAGCTATTTACCTTTATTTTCCTTCCTTATTGTTTCAAATCCATTTCTACTATAATACACTACTCATAACTTTACAAGACAAATAAAGGGAGATAATTATTGCATGTTCCTTGTTAGCATTAACTAATTTAATCTTTTTGTAGATTTTTATTGCAAAAGTTTTAGATAATATATTTTGGCAGGAACTGCAAGAATTTGAAACAAAGTTGTGGCTATGGACTTGAACTAAAATCACAGTTTATTTTGTGTGACAATACTTTATCAATAACTGAGCAGTACTAAATAAAAATAAGAACTAGACAATATCCCAAGACATGAGCAGTGGAATGAAAACAGTCTACCCTTGTATATTAAATAAAGGGTTCAGTTCCAAATTCCCTGTCGTTTTGAGGAAATAACGGCTGAAATGTTGCAATAACAACAATGATGAGGACAATAGTCTGAATATAGTGTAAATAATGATAACTCCTCATCCCAGAAATAATTTATCAATTGGCTGTTATGATAAAACAGTTTTTTTTTTCAGCCAATATCTATTGTTTTGTTTTTTTAATTATCCATCATTGTAGTAAGTTGTTTTGAGATGGAGCATTTTTATTACACATATTTAAAATTAAAAAAAAAAAAAAAAAAAGCAACAATGTAAAGAAACTGGTCAAAATTACTAAAATGAGTAATACTGAAAATGCTTCATCTTAGAATCACTACAAAGGGAAGTGTCTCTTCAGGATGTGGGCGATCATGACTATAATTTCTTGTCCTTTGTAGCTTCTTTTTGCTACATCTAATACCTGTTCTGCTAACCATTTACACAAGCTTGTTAGATAGGCTAAGCATCGTTTTCCTCTGTCCCTCTTCAATATGTCCTGGTGTGTCAAATTTTCCAAGTCCTCTTTCCTCATTATATGCTCTCGAAATTTCAACTGTCTTTTTCTGATGTTAAGTATAAGTGTCCTTTGTGATCCCATTTTCTCTAAACTTTGTTGTTGCTTATGTGTTCAGTCCATGGTATTCTTAGCAAATATTAAAATCAGCTGTCTTGGTCTAAAATTAAAATTTTTATTATAAAATGATTCTAAGAGGATATATTCGATACTAGCCAGAAAATATATAAACAAATAAAAAATGAAATGGAATTAAAAAAATAGAATTGTAATTATAATAAAGTGGAGAGAAGAAAAAAGGTGTGTGTGGGGGGGAATGGTTATTGTAATGCTATAGTGTTTCAAATTTAGGCATGGGAGGGAGATTCACTTGTAAACATTATATGCAAACTGTTTTAAATAAAAATTGTAAATTATTTCTGCTTTTCTAAAAATCTGCATCAGGCCCAAAAGTAGGTACCTCCACTAATTCAGTATACGTAAGGTTTAAAATGAATTTTTAATAATGAAAAAGCTTTCTTGAAGCTTTAATTGAAAGCTAAAGGATTTAAAATTTACTATTTCCAGTAAGCAAAATACTGTGGTGTATTTGCAAAAAGATCTTGCAAAAATGAAAAAGTTAGCAAGAAAAACAAGTGTTTAATCCAAATTTTGAATGCTTTAAAAAGGAGAAAAAAAATTAATTAATTAATGAAAAAATACTTTGATCCTTCCTATTAATAACAACGATTTTAACAATAAAACTTTTTATTATGTTTGAAGTATGTATTAACATTTTTAGCATAGCAAATTTTAGTCTCTTTTTTGCAGTGATAAAAACATTAATTTTTAGAAATTCTTGCAAAAATAAAATAATAGTCAGATTTTAATGAAATTTTCAGGACTTATTCGCAGATGAATGAAATTATTTTTGAAATTTTATTTATTAGAAAATTTTGGTAAATATATATATATATATATATATTTTTTTTTTTTTTGCAGAAGTTTTTGAAGAATTTAAATCACCGATTTTATTTTGCAAAATCTGACCTGGTTTTACCTAAAATCTGTTCTGAATCGAAAAATAAAAAACGCAATAAAATTAAGACATTATTTAATTAGAGAAGCTTTTAATTGCTTTTATGAATAATATATATTAAAGAAAATATTGTCTGAAGAAAAAAAAATTAGATGAAAAATGAATTTTTACAAGATTCGTTTTGATGTTTTACAATTTAAAATTGAATAATTTATAAAGTTTTTGAATCTTTTAAAGTTCAATTTCGATGAGATAATTTTTAGGGATTATTATTCTGAAGTAAAATTATATTTACTAATCACATATTTTAAAGATTATTACAATCGGAAGGCCCCGGCTATTTATAAAAAAGAATTTTGATTTGTTTTTATATATGTATGTCTGAAATAGGGATGTACAAACCAATAAATTTATTAATAAAAGGTCACATGTTTTAAGAGTTGCCTCCCCTTACGAGACAAAACCTTAATGAAAATGACAGTCTGCCACACCATAGTTAATTATGATTATGCTCGGTGGTCAATCCGCCGTCAATAAATCGATTAACATGTTAGAAAAACAAGACCCCGTGGTTAGGAAATGATTGTATACAACATTTTATGCTATGAGTAAGTAATATTTGTTTCAAATCAGATTAACTTAACTTTAAATTTGCTAATTTTTCTCAAAGACCGTTTCAGAAATAAATATTTTTTTTAAATTTATAAAAAGGGAAAATAACTTGTTTACAAATGTCTAAAAAAATACTTGTACCATCATGAAATCACCATAAAAAGAGCATAGCATGATAAAAATGGCCTTAAACTTGAAGAAAATTAAATTTTATCATCTTAATGTTTGTTATTATTAAGAAGAAAGACCAAAGTATTTTTGAAAATTTTTGCACCCTTTTTACAGAACATTCTTTTGATTAAAAAAATCATATTACTCTTTGGGAAAGTGTCATTAGTAAATAACATTGCAAATTTTAGCACCATTTTTTTTTTTTTTTTTTTATAAAAAAGCTTGCAAAAAAAAAAAAAATAAAAAAAAAAAAAAAAGAAACTCGGATTTTAATGAAACTCACAGGATTTATCCACAAGCGATTGAAATTACTTTATGTTTTTCATTTTGAAAGTCGTGGTAAAGATTTTTTTTTTTAACATCTTTACTCCCTTAACTAATTTTATGAAAACTCTAGATATTCAATGCTGATTTTTTTACTGAATATATTAGTTAAAAGAAGAAGTCTTTGAAGAATTTAAATCATCAATTTTTTTCTTGTAAAAATCGAATGACCAATTATCAAAATTCAGCTCTGAATTGTAACATAAAAAACTAAATAAAACAAAGATATTATTTAATTTCAAAAGCTTGTAGTTGCTTTCATGAATAAGGACAATATTGTCTGAAGGTAAAAAGTTTTTCAGTGAAAAATAAATTTTTACAACAATTATTTGTCATTTCTTATATTTTTTTTTTTAATTTTACAATTTTTACAATAAATTTCTCAAATATTTTAAAATCAGTGAAAAAGCTGATTATTTTAGGCAATGGTGTTATTAAGTAGACATATCTTTACAGATTATAAATTATACAGGTTTATTTCAACCTGCAAACAACCAGTATGTACAAATAGAATTTAAAATTGTTCTTGTGTCATTAAAAAAGGTTTATTTCAAATGTATGGATGGACCCAAGATTGTGAAAACATCACATGGTTTTTCTGATGTGTTAATCGATTTATTAACAGTGGAAAAATAAAAATAGTTGGTATCTTTAGATTGTAATAAGCTTTAAAATAGTTTTACTTAATAACAATATGCCCTAAAATTTATTGAAGTTGAACAAAATGCAAAATCTTTATAAATTATTCAATTTTAAATTGTAAAAAATGAAAACAAATCTTGTAAAAATTCATTTTTTCACTAAAATTTTTTTTTCTTTAGACAATATTGTCTTTAATATATATTATTCATAAAAGCAATTGAAAGCTTCTCTAATTAAATAATTTTTGAAGTTTTATTACTTTTTTATTTTTTGATTCAGAACAGAATTTGGTAAGGCCAAGTCTGATTTTATAAAATAAAATCGGTGATTTAAATTCTTTACAAAATTCTGCTTTTAACTAACATAGCCAATACAAAATATCACAATGAATTTCTGAAGCTTTCATAAAATTTAAGGGGGAGAAATACATAAAAAAAAAAAAAATTCCACAAATAATTTCATTCTTTTGTAAATAAGTCCTGAAAATTTCATTAAGCTCTGAGAATTATTTGATTTTTCCAAATTGTGTCTATCACTGCAAAAAAGAGACAAAAGTTTGATATACTTAAAGTTAGTACAACTGTCGATGTAAGAAAAACAAGTTTTTTTTTTAATCAACATTTTGAATGTTCTAAAAGAGTAAAAATTTAAAAAAAAAAAAAAAATTCTTTGATCCTTCCTCTTAATAACATAATGATTTTAAAATAACTGACATAAAAATAAAAATAATACCCTAAAATTTTATAAATGTACATAAAATTATAGTATAATTTTATGTACCTTTCTTATGAAATTATATCTCACTCAGCAGTTATTATTTTAATTTTTTTAACAGTATTTTTAATTTCTCCAGAAAGCATCAACAAACGTAAGGTGAAAGCTAAAGTACTTAAAAAAAATATTGGAATGCTAAAGTTTTTCTTACTTTAAAAACTATGAAGTAAATAAGCTGGTTCACTTAAAACTAGAAAAGATCATGTTACTTCTGTCCCTCTGTATGATAACTTGCCTATCACATTAGGTGTCAATACGTGATGAAAACATCACTTGTCACTAGTCAATCATCACCATTGTTAAGACATGTTTTCTCTTATTTTAAACTACATTTTTTTGCGAAGAAAGTAAGAATGTTTCAAAATATATTAAAACTTTAAATTTTCTTCAAACAAATTTTGAAAAAGGTATAATTGATTTTTGCAAAGTTTTTAAATGGAGAATTTGACTTCTGTTTACAAAATCATAAAAAATGGCTGAAATATTGATTTTTAGTAATTTTGCTAACTCAAACAAAAAAAGAAAGAAAAAAAGATTTTTAGCTAAAATTTTGGATGTGCTAAGAAGGATTAAAAATTTTCAAAAATATTTTGGTCTTTCCTCTTAATAATGACAAAAATTTAGATGATAAAAATTTTTTTCATCAAGTTTAAGGCTGTTTTTATCATGCTATGCTCTGTTGATTTCATGAAAGTACCTGCAATTCTATTCTGATCAGTGTAATTTCTGTTTGAAATACAACAAAGTATTTTGCTTACCAGATATAGTAAATTTAATTCTTTACCTATATGTAATTTTTAAATGTTTCAATTGTTTTTGTCTTAAATGTCATGTCCCTTCAGATTCAGATGTTATTATCTGTGAAATACTGTGACTTCCTGGAAAAAATAGTGGAATGATTTCCTGTTGTCTTCTCCACAGTTTTGAATTCAGTCGTCCTTCTCCAAGATTCCTTTTCTTTATTATCTGTGAATTGCCATGACTTCTTGGCAAAGAGAGTGAAGTGGTTTCTTGTTGCCTTCTCCACTATTTTGAATTTCTCAAAGACTAGAGAGACCAATCTAACAGTGTGGAAAAGAAATGGATTCATACCATTCCTATGGTTATTTGTGCAAAAGTAAATGCAATGAACTTATCCAGAATCTAAATTCAGCTCATCAACTTCTCCTTCTGAGTCACAAACCATTCACATAGAGAAAAAAAAAAGCATAAAAATCGCCCATTTATTTTCATCTTGATTATTTAAAATTTACTAAATATATTTTTCTAAAAAATATCTTTTTATAGTTCACAAATCTGCTACTTTGCATATCTTGTTTATATATATATTTTGTTTATAAAAATAACAAGTGTTACATTATAGAAACATTTATGAGAATATTTTGTAAACTACTGTGAAACTCATTGGCATTTCAACATAAATAAAATAAATTGGTCTGGTCATAAAAAAAAAAAAATCAGAAGAATTTTGAGAGGAATAATTTTTGTAGATTAGCATTCATTTGAACTTTCTCTACCCAGTATCGAAAATTTTTTTTTTCTTCATCATTTTAGAAGTGAAGTCCTATTCAAAATATAAATAATGCATCAAATAAATCCCTTGCTTTTTAAACAGTTATCTGTGCATTGTTTTTATTTTTGTTTTATTTTCACATGACTGCTCACTTCTGAGCAAACCCAAGTGTTCTTCAAAACCCATAAAGCCAACTATACTGAGAAAACCTTAGTTATAGTTCAAGTATATGACCTACCAGAGTCATATACAGTTTTAAATTTAGATTTGTCCTTCTCCTATACTGGTTACCAACCATAGCTAGATAATCCAGTCTTCTCTGCTATTTAACCCATAGCTGGGGGACTAATAAACGGATTCATATTTTCAAGGGTTTTTGTGCAAAAGTGAATCTAACAATTTTGACTAGAATTTGAACTTGCCGATTTCTCATTCCTTCATTACACCACCTACACATTCTGACATTGTTAGCAACTACAACTCTATACGTTCTACTGAAAATATGTAATACTTAAAAGCCTAAAGTTTCCCCTGTCAGCTTTGATTTTGAGCTGAACAGTTTATATTTTATTTTTTGCATCATTAAAAAAAAAAAAAATTGAAGGTATAATTAAAACTTTGTAGGAAATAACATTTAAATACGCCATAAAGAATGAGAAAATATATACTGGCAAAGATAAAAAGGGGTTAGTTAACTTACAGTTTGAGGTAAATTCACTACTCCTGTGTGATAGCCAAATTGGAAAGAAGATCCTATGATACAGGAAAAGATGGCAAAGATGAGTTTCTTAAAACAACCCTGAAAAAGAAAAAAGTAAGACAAAAATAGAAACTAATATTTATTTAATCTCATAGAATTATTTCTAAGACAGCATTTGAAGCTTCTTATACAAATGTCTGATATATAAATAAATCATATATGTAGAGACCAACTGATCTTTTTTTTTTATGAATTATCAACCTTTTTGAGGTTATTTAAAACCAAAATATTTTTGGATAGTAAGAATTTTTTGGAGATAATGATTTTTTGATACAAGTCTTACTATTTAACCTATAGCTAGGAGGAGAAGAGGTGGATTCATAACTTTCCAAAGGGTATGGAAGTGAATATAATGAAACTAACTGGAATTGGAACTCGGTTCTCTGATTCTGATTAGCAATCAGATTTCATAAACATTAATGTCAAAGCATCAAACTTCAAACCACAATGAGTTATTACCCTAAATGTTTAGTTGAGATTATTTACCACAAAAATTCCCATTAAGTACTTACAAAATCCATGATGCCCACAATCATTGTAATCTTCATCCTAATGGGACATTAGTCAAATATTAATCTACCAGTAGAAAAGATTAGTTGAGAAAATTCATCACAAAAAGGGCAAAGTCCTTCCTTTAAATGTTTTATCTGTTAGTTGATATTTTTGAGACAATACACTATCTCGCTTCATGTGCAATTATTGTTTCAATTAAAATGCTTTTAAATAAATAACAACATGAAAATAAAAAGATCCTAGGTTAGATAGGGCTAATTAAATGTGGCTAAAACTAAGATAAGTAAACTGATATTTTTTTTATCAGTTACAAAACACAACTAAGTCTGATCCTGACATAGATCAGACTGATTCTATGTTCGATACTACTAAACACTCATCAAAAGAGAAATGAAATAGCTTTCTTCAAATGGTTAGTCTTATATTTATGAAACCTGCAAATCTAAAAAAATAGGTTTGTATGAAAACTAATTGTTCATTTTTGTGTCATTAGTATGAAGAAAGGTTTTTTTTTTTAGAAAATGAGCTTGTAGATAGAAGGAAAACAGGTTGTTGTCATTTTTGATAATCCATACTTCAACTGTTCCACAAGTCACTTATACATATAGGCAGGCTTTTATCAATCATGGAATAACTTTGATATAACAAAAACCCTTTGAATCTTTAACTACAGGGTGCCCTAGAAATACCTTCCACATAAGGATAAGACATTAGTGGCAACGGTGTCTTCATCTAGCTAATGTCTTACCATTATGTGGGAGGTATTCTGCTACACACTATGTAAAAATATCTTTCTTAGAATTAACTTTGTGTTATTTTCTTGTAAGTAAAACCTAAATTTAAACTTCAAAAGAATATATTTAAATTATTGTAATACGTTTTGAGATTAAAAATAAAATTTGTGGAAGTGCCTATCATAAAATGCATTTTTTAAAAAGTTTAATAAGCAAAAGTTTATATAGTTCAGAAGTTCCTAGACAAGTTTGAATTCTAGCTAAGGCTGGGTTTATTGTACATCTACATTTGAAAAAAGCATGAATCCACTTTTCTTTTCATTGTCTTAGTGCCAAAGAATTTGATAAAATGTCTTATCACTTATGATTGACAGAACAGGTGAGTGGGCACTTGAGGGAAAAAAAAAAAAAAAAAACAATAAAAAAATACCTTATTTTCCCAGGCATAAACGGATATTATTTCTATTGTTAATTCTGACCCATATGATTTGTAATGGCATCTTTCTAAAGTGCAATGCCTCATTGCTAAAAATAATGAGAACATGTGAGCCATAACAGTTCTAATCTCCTTGTATTGCAAAACCATTACAAGTTTGCTTTGAAAGACTTATACAGTATCAATAATGTCTATGTTGAAGCTCATATAGTAATTAACCAATAATTATGCTTTAGAGTCAAGTGTATCACCCAAATAAGAGAAATGCATTTATGGAAGGCATTTTTAATTGCTTTCTCAGCCATGAAAATACAGAAGCCAGAAAAGAAACTCAAGACAACTTCATTGGCCCTTTAAATCCATAACAGATATTGCTTTGTTGTAAAAGAACTACTTTCCATTATGACATAGCAGAATCATTTTTGAGAATTTACTATTGATTACAGAAAGGTACATGTTGTATCATTCTTGGCTATAAAATTTCTTAATGTAGTGCATGTCATGAAGTCAAGTCCAAATAAGTGAAAAAGAAAAGAAAAAGGAAAAAAAAGAAAAGAAAAGGAAAGAAAAAGAAAAGAAAAAAAGGAAAAAAAAGAAAAGGAAAGAAAAAGAAAAGAAAAACAAAAGAAGCTTATCTGACTGACATTATCCCTTTCACAAAAACAGAAATTATTACTGAGATGAATGAGTAATGAGTTTCATTCTGAGAAGGGACTTCTTCAGACTAACAACAGTTTTATTAATGAAGTCTGTCTTATTATATATAGTGTGTGTGTGTGAATAAAGACAAAAGGAAAACTTTTCTTTGCGAACATGTTTCGTCTCTGATTTAAGGATTTTATTCTGATTATAAATACATGTTGCAAAATAAAATCTTTACATTTACCTTGATAAAGTCCATCAGAGGACAAAACTTGTCTGCAAAGAAAAGTTTGTTTTGTCATTATTCATATTGCCTTTTTACAGATATAGTTTTAGTTCAGTCTGTTCATATCTATATTGGTCTTTTTGTATCTTTCTATAGATCTACCTGTCTGTACCTATCTATTTATTTCATTCTGCCCATATCTAACATCCTGTTCATAAACATTTAGGTATTTTTCTCTCCCTCTATATCTCTTTCAGCCTGTTCTTTTCTTTATTTCCCTCTAAACGTTTTCATATATATCTCAAAATAATAATGGATAAGTGAATGACGAAAATGGAGAATTCCAAAGTGCTATATTTCATTCTGAGAAGAAACTTCTTCAGATTAAGAATGTTTTTTATCAATGGAGTCAGTCGTTTTTATGTGTAAATAAATCAAGAAAAGTTCAAGTGACTTATCTGGTTGATCTATTCAAGAGTTTCATATCGAAATGCTCATCAGGGCCAGATATTTGATGAATCAAACTCCTGAGTCAGTCAATCATGTCACTTGAACTTTTGAGCACTTTTTACCAGAAATTCTGTAGTGAGTGCATTTTACTATGTTACTGTAATAGTGGTGACAGCAATACAGTTATGCATATAGTACCGTTACTGGCATATTATTACTCTTTTCTTGGCAGTTGTACGTTACAACTTGAATTGTATTAAAATAAATTATCAATTAAAAGCTTGGACTTTGGGACTACAATCATTAATGTAAAAGATGTGAAAAAAAAGTAAAAAATATAGCAATGCTACTCACTGTGTAGTACTAACTTTGTACTCTTACGGAGTAAACAAGTCTGTACTATCATAAAGTAAACAAATTTGTTCTATTACGAAATAAACAAATCTGTATGCTTATAAGGTAAACAAATTTCATTAGAGCTTCAGCTTGTAAGGTTTCTAAACAATTAGATAACACAGAAAAAGAGATATTTTCTTGGTGAAACCTACTTTGTAGGTTTTATTAATTTGTAGGTGGAGAGGACAGAAAAAAATAAAACAAATGTTTAACATTTAATAAAAATGCAGCATTAAAATAAGCCTTACAATAGATAATATACATGATTATATCTTTTACATCATAGTGCACATCTATATTTATTGTAAACAATATTAATTCAGTCTCTTTGAAAGACAATCTTCTTCCTTTAATTTGTCCACATATTAATAGCTTATGTGTTAAGCTTATGAGGCAATGCTGAAAAGTTATCAGCTTGACCAAGAAGCTCTAATGAAATATTCAGTTTGACTTTGGGAAGTGGTTTATGCCTGAAACATTTCAGCATCCTCTCATAATAAATATATACAGTAAGAAAAAAAAAAAAAAAAAAATGAAATATTGACAGAAATGTTTACTTTGAAGCAATCCTTTAAGTAGAAAAACAAAAAAAGAGAAAAGAAAAGAGCAACATGATGTGTTGGAAGCACTCGAGTATGGTGGGGTGGGGGAAGCAAGAGATGGACACCAACAATCTACCTGATAACGCTCACGGGTTGTTTCTGAGTGCCTCTGAGGGGAGATAGAGAGCTGAGACAGAGGTACTTTGTCAATAACAGTAGGTTTCTCTGCAAACTGGAATGAAGAACATTCAAAAATATGACAATAGAAGATGTACCAATAAATGAGAAATTTTATATATATATATATATATATATATATATATATATATATATATATATATATATATATATAATTACATATCCATAAAACAGAAATTGGTTCACAGATGCTGAAAAAATGAAAACATGATTTGATACTTTTGTTGAGGAAAACATTAGAGGCTGGCATTTAAATTGTTCAAAAAAAAAAAAAAAAAATCCTTTTATTTATTTATTTATTTTTACAGAAAAAATAAAAAATAAACTTGTAAAAATTTGGATCTAGTCAAGTTGTCACCTGTCCTTTATTTACCTCCTTCTGTCCTCATCTTTTGTTGAATTTAGAAGGTAAAAAAACAACAATGCGATATTCAGTTATATTGAGCATCTCCAAGAACAAAATCAAAAATTACTATTTATTTATATTTTTTTTATGTCTTATTATAACTTGACAAAGTTGGCGACCCTATATACTGAAAAAGATTGTTTACATTTTTAGTATTTCTTTTAAATTTAGTTGCTTTTCATCATAACTATTCAGACAGTAAACAGTGTGGCTAAAGATGGTTTCATTTGTTTTGTTTTACGGCAAATTAACCTCAATGGGTTATTTAATGCCAACAAAATTTTTACAATAGATTTGTATGAATAGAATATATATTCTTTGTAAGTAAGCTTTGTAGATCCAGTTTCATTGATTTTCTTTTGTAAAGAAGGTTGTTGTTGAGAGTCTGGTTTCATTGATGTATTCTTTTCAGACACAGTTTGTAGAGAAATTGATTTTGACATTCTCATTTGGTTTATAATTTTTGCTATAGTCCTACTGTTTTGAGAGATTATAT